TTTAAAAAAGCAGCGACCTTCTGCTGATTTCTGTGCGCCTGGTATCTCAGATTTGAATTTAACGGTTTTCTGCCATTTGAGCGGTGGAAAGTGGAGGCAGAAAATGGGAAAAATGAGAGCGAAAAAAGAGAGCAACGAAATACAAAGAGAGACAAGAAAAAAAGAGAATTTAAAAAAAGCAGCGACCTTCTGCTGATTTCTGTGCGCCTGGTATCTCAGATTTGAATTTAACGGTTTTCTGCCATTTGAGCGGTGGAAAGTGGAGGCAGAAAATGAGAAAAATGAGAGCGAAAAAAGAGAGCAACGAAATACAAAGAGAGACAAGAAAAAAAGAGAATTTAAAAAAGCAGCGACCTTCTGCTGATTTCTGTGCGCCTGGTATCTCAGATTTGAATTTAACGGTTTTCTGCCATTTGAGCGGTGGAAAGTGGAGGCAGAAAATGGGAAAAATGAGAGCGAAAAAAGAGAGCAACGAAATACAAAGAGAAACAAGAAAAAAAGAGAATTTAAAAAAGCAGCGACCTTCTGCTGATTTCTGTGCGCCTGGTATCTCAGACTTGAATTTAACGGTTTTCTGCCATTTGAGTGGCGGAAAGTGTAGGCGGAAAATTGGAAAAATGAGAGCGAAAAAAGAGAGCAACGAAATACAAAGAGAGACAAGAAAAATAGAGAATTTAAAAAAAGCAGCGACCTTCTGCTGATTTCTGTGCGCCTGGTATCTCAGATTTGAATTTAACGGTTTTCTGCCATTTGAGCGGTGGAAAGTGGAGGCAGAAAATGGGAGAAATGAGAGCGAAAAAAGAGAGCAACGAAATACAAAGAGAAACAAGAAAAAAAGAGAATTTTAAAAAAGCAGCGACCTTCTGCTGATTTCTGTGCGCCTGGTATCTCAGATTTGAATTTAACGGTTTTCTGCCATTTGAGCGGTGGAAAGTGGAGGCAGAAAATGGGAAAAATGAGAGCGAAAAAAGAGAGCAACGAAATACAAAGAGAAACAAGAAAAAAAGAGAATTTAAAAAAAGCAGCGACCTTCTGCTGATTTCTGTGCGCCTGGTATCTCAGATTTGAATTTAACGGTTTTCTGCCATTTGAGCGGTGGAAAGTGGAGGCAGAAAATGGGAAAAATGAGAGCGAAAAAAGAGAGCAACGAAATACAAAGAGAAACAAGAAAAAAAGAGAATTTAAAAAAAGCAGCGACCTTCTGCTGATTTCTGTGCGCCTGGTATCTCAGATTTGAATTTAACGGTTTTCTGCCATTTGAGCGGTGGAAAGTGGAGGCAGAAAATGGGAAAAATGAGAGCGAAAAAAGAGAGCAACGAAATACAAAGAGAAACAAGAAAAAAAGAGAATTTAAAAAAAGCAGCGACCTTCTGCTGATTTCTGTGCGCCTGGTATCTCAGATTTGAATTTAACGGTTTTCTGCCATTTGAGCGGTGGAAAGTGGAGGCAGAAAATGGGAAAAATGAGAGCGAAAAAAGAGAGCAACGAAATACAAAGAGAAACAAGAAAAAAAGAGAATTTAAAAAAAGCAGCGACCTTCTGCTGATTTCTGTGCGCCTGGTATCTCAGATTTGAATTTAACGGTTTTCTGCCATTTGAGCGGTGGAAAGTGGAGGCGGAAAATGGGAAAAATGAGAGCGAAAAAAGAGAGACAACGAAATACAAAGAGAAACAAGAAAAAAAGAGAATTTAAAAAAAGCAGCGACCTTCTGCTGATTTCTGTGCGCCTGGTATCTCAGATTTGAATTTAACGGTTTTCTGCCATTTGAGCGGTGGAAAGTGGAGGCGGAAAATGGGAAAAATGAGAGCGAAAAAAGAGAGCAACGAAATACAAAGAGAAACAAGAAAAAAAGAGAATTTAAAAAAGCAGCGACCTTCTGCTGATTTCTGTGCGCCTGGTATCTCAGATTTGAATTTAACGGTTTTCTGCCATTTGAGCGGTGGAAAGTGGAGGCAGAAAATGGGAAAAATGAGAGCGAAAAAAGAGAGCAACGAAATACAAAGAGAAACAAGAAAAAAAGAGAATTTAAAAAAGCAGCGACCTTCTGCTGATTTCTGTGCGCCTGGTATCTCAGATTTGAATTTAACGGTTTTCTGCCATTTGAGCGGTGGAAAGTGGAGGCAGAAAATGGGAAAAATGAGAGCGAAAAAAGAGAGCAACGAAATACAAAGAGAAACAAGAAAAAAAGAGAATTTAAAAAAAGCAGCGACCTTCTGCTGATTTCTGTGCGCCTGGTATCTCAGATTTGAATTTAACGGTTTTCTGTCATTTGAGCGGTGGAAAGTGGAGGCAGAAAATGGGAAAAATGAGAGCGAAAAAAAGAGAGCAACGAAATACAAAGAGAAACAAGAAAAAAAGAGAATTTAAAAAAGCAGCGACCTTCTGCTGATTTCTGTGCGCCTGGTATCTCAGATTTGAATTTAACGGTTTTCTGTCATTTGAGCGGTGGAAAGTGGAGGCAGAAAATGGGAAAAATGAGAGCGAAAAAAGAGAGCAACGAAATACAAAGAGAAACAAGAAAAAAAGAGAATTTAAAAAAAGCAGCGACCTTCTGCTGATTTCTGTGCGCCTGGTATCTCAGATTTGAATTTAACGGTTTTCTGCCATTTGAGCGGTGGAAAGTGGAGGCAGAAAATGGGAAAAATGAGAGCGAAAAAGAGAGCAACGAAATACAAAGAGAAACAAGAAAAAAACGAGAATTTAAAAAAAGCAGCGACCTTCTGCTGATTTCTGTGCGCCTGGTATCTCAGATTTGAATTTAACGGTTTTCTGCCATTTGAGCGGTGGAAAGTGGAGGCAGAAAATGGGAAAAATGAGAGCGAAAAAAGAGAGCAACGAAATACAAAGAGAAACAAGAAAAAAAGAGAATTTAAAAAAAGCAGCGACCTTCTGCTGATTTCTGTGCGCCTGGTATCTCAGATTTGAATTTAACGGTTTTCTGCCATTTGAGCGGTGGAAAGTGGAGGCAGAAAATGGGAAAAATGAGAGCGAAAAAAGAGAGCAACGAAATACAAAGAGAAACAAGAAAAAAAGAGAATTTAAAAAAAGCAGCGACCTTCTGCTGATTTCTGTGCGCCTGGTATCTCAGATTTGAATTTAACGGTTTTCTGCCATTTGAGCGGTGGAAAGTGGGAAAGGAAAAATGAGAGCGAAAAAAGAACGAAATACAAAGAGAAAAAAAAAAAGAGAATAAAAAACAGCGACCTTCTGCTGATTTCTGTGCGCCTGGTATCTCAGATTTGAATTTAACGGTTTCTGCCATTGGGGGGGGGGAAAATTGGAAAAATGAGAGCGAAAAAAGAGAGCAACGAAATACAAAGAGAAACAAGAAAAAAAGAGAATTTAAAAAAAGCAGCGACCTTCTGCTGATTTCTGTGCGCCTGGTATCTCAGATTTGAATTTAACGGTTTTCTGCCATTTGAGCGGTGGAAAGTGGAGGCAGAAAATGGGAAAAATGAGAGCGAAAAAAGAGAGCAACGAAATACAAAGAGAAACAAGAAAAAAACGAGAATTTAAAAAAGCAGCGACCTTCTGCTGATTTCTGTGCGCCTGGTATCTCAGATTTGAATTTAACGGTTTTCTGCCATTTGAGCGGTGGAAAGTGGAGGCAGAAAATGGGAAAAATGAGAGCGAAAAAAGAGAGCAACGAAATACAAAGAGAAACAAGAAAAAAAGAGAATTTAAAAAAAGCAGCGACCTTCTGCTGATTTCTGTGCGCCTGGTATCTCAGATTTGAATTTAACGGTTTTCTGTCATTTGAGCGGTGGAAAGTGGAGGCAGAAAATGGGAAAAATGAGAGCGAAAAAAGAGAGCAACGAAATACAAAGAGAAGCAAGAAAAAAAGAGAATTTAAAAAAGCAGCGACCTTCTGCTGATTTCTGTGCGCCTGGTATCTCAGATTTGAATTTAACGGTTTTCTGCCATTTGAGCGGTGGAAAGTGGAGGCGGGAAAATGGGAAAAATGAGAGCGAAAAAAGAGAGCAACGAAATACAAAGAGAAACAAGAAAAAAAGAGAATTTAAAAAAAGCAGCGACCTTCTGCTGATTTCTGTGCGCCTGGTATCTCAGATTTGAATTTAACGGTTTTCTGCCATATGAGCGGTGGAAAGTGGAGGCAGAAAATGGGAAAAATGAGAGCGAAAAAAGAGAGCAACGAAATACAAAGAGAAACAAGAAAAAAAGAGAATTTAAAAAAGCAGCGACCTTCTGCTGATTTCTGTGCGCCTGGTATCTCAGATTTGAATTTAACGGTTTTCTGCCATTTGAGTGGTGGAAAGTGGAGGCGGAAAATGGGAAAAATGAGAGCGAAAAAAGAGAGCAACGAAATACAAAGAGAAACAAGAAAAAAAGAGAATTTAAAAAAAGCAGCGACCTTCTGCTGATTTCTGTGCGCCTGGTATCTCAGATTTGAATTTAACGGTTTTCTGCCATTTGAGCGGTGGAAAGTGGAGGCAGAAAATGAGAAAAATTAGATCGAAACGAGAAGAAACGTGTGAAAACTCAGCTGCGCCGCTGTCGTTGTATGGTTAGTGACTAGGCTTAGTTGTAGCATCGGAAATACTAAATAAATTGGATATCGGAAATACCTGATAGGGGAATGTGGATTGTAAAGCATGGAAATATCTCAAAGGGGCGAAGTAATCGATTGTTCTGCAGCTCATCCCCATCCACGAGGCACCGTTCCGATGAGGCAGCACTGAAGCTGGGAATCCTGCCCTGGAGGACCAGAATGTCTGAGGTCTCCTATTATTAATATTATTAATTAATACTAATAATACCAGCCTTGCCCACATTTACTTTTAGCCTTCTGCTGTTCCAGTGGCAGAGGAGAACATGTGGACTGACAACATATTTTTCTATAATTAACCAGCCGAAAATATTGCATAAAGTGGAGTGCATGATGGTATTTGCATTATCGACAAGTGGTTCGTCCATTTTTAACCCATGGAAACTGTTCAAAGTTCACACAACCCGTAAATGGATCAGGCATACCTATAAAAGGGGTCGACTCCTCCAAGGAAGGCATCAGTCTGTGGCATCTGCTCCCCTGAACAAGTCCAATACACCAATTACACACCAATATGAAGCTGACCATTTTCATCGTCGGTACGTATAAAGCTCCGATCCCCGCCAATGGATCGGTTCTTAATCTCCTTCATTACTTCATTTCTTATCCTTTCCATTTCTCTACATTCGCAGCGAGCATCCTGCTCATTAGCTTGGCCGATCTGGGCACTGGATGCAAGACCCCAAACAACAAGCCCCCAAAGAGCAAGCCCCCAACCAATCCCTGCGACTTGTGCGGATTATGCGGTCCCGGTGGAACCGCCTGCCAGGGATGCAAAGGAAGGGACGGTCTCTGCCAGGAGCTGCTCGACAATGTGCGCGTCCTTGAACGCAAGATCCGGCAGTGCGTGTGCGGGCAAAAGGCGTGGTTGCTGTAAAGGGGATCTACTGTATCCCTGAGCCTACTCCTACGCCCTGATGTGATTGTGTGACGTGACCCCTGCCCCAATTGTTATTGTTATGTTTCCATCAATTCATGTTGTGTATATTTACTCTTTTATGTATAAAAAAACCCGTGCGGAGTGCTGACTTCGGTCGCATTCCCATCTTTCATTCCGTTGCAAATATTTAATAAATATTTTTCATTAATCACTGACTAGAAAATGACAGTGGCGGTCCAATAGGCTGGTAGTTGCACCTAAATAACTACCGATTTGTCAGTCAGAATAACGGGGAGATGTTTTACCCCGTTTACCATCTTATTCGTATAATCGTGATTTAATCTTTATTTCCGATCTGTTGTTCTCAATATCCACATTAATGAAACTCATTGGAATGAACATGGACATGGGCTCTCCCTCTGAACTGTCTCTCTCTCTCTCTCTCTTTACTGAAGTTACTTTCACATGGTGCCCGCCGGGATGGATCAGCTAAAGTCGAGTATCGGCAATAAAACAATGCGCTTAAATTGAACATAACAGTTTACATATTTTATTATCTTCCTTCATGCTCCTTCCTCATAGCTTTTGCATACGTTTTTGCTCCAAAGGTTTCGTCAAATGGTTGTTGTCTTTGCTATTCGTTTCATCTCACATTCTTACACACAATAAGCGCATACACACATTCTCGTATGTATGCAATGCATATTGTGTCATCTGTGAGTGCGTGGTGTGTGTGTGTGTGTGTTTGAGTTCGACAGATCGAAAGTTTGTGTTCATTTAGTGGACAGTTCTTTGAGATTTCGGAGTGTGTTATCTACATCGGGAGAGGTGAACCATAGTAACACGCTTATTACATTTCTTTGTTTTTGTTTTCTAAAATTCTACATCGAACATTTCATTTTTTTTTTTTTTTAAAGTAATCGTTTTTCATTGCCATTCGTTCTTTATGGGATGGATGGATGGTCGGAACGGGACAACCAATACAACACAACATACATACAAGTATTATCTGCTTTGCTTTTTTTTGCCAGTGTGTGTTTGTGTGTGTGTTTGGGTAAAATATTTCGTGCATACTTGTAGGTGGCCGCGCCGGAGTCGGTGAACGTGAATACTTTGGTGCATACTCGGCGGCTGGCGTCATTAAGTGGAATGCATGTGGAATGCATACGAGTACGTGTGGATTACGTGCTTTTTTTTTTGTATTTATTTATTTTTGCCCGATACCGATACCGATCTCGATCAGCCGTAAAGTCGTTTAAAGTACAAATTGAAATGTTCGCATCGTTCGTCGCATTAGTATTTTTATGTAGGAAATTTGTAGCGAAAATTCGATCAAAATCGATCAAACAAATAAGACAGAAAGTACATACATACATACATATTACAATTTCTATTTGCCACGAGTAGTGTGCAACTACTCTATCACACAATGCAAATTCAGTTCTCTAACGAAACGAATTTCTCAAAACAATTTTTTAACGCATACTTAAACATTCTAAAACATTTGGTTAAATACTTGGGTTGGGCTGTTGCGGGATCTGTGGGGGAGGAGAGCCTATTTGTATTTTTAAAATTCAATATATGTATTGATGGGGGCATATGTTATGCTTGTAAAATCCTTTCCTTTGCCAACAGTTATCTTAAGGGGCGAACATTTTGGAAATAGGAAAATTTTGAATTTTTTTCTTTGTGTTTTTTTTTTACATTTTCCATTGGACTCTCGTTTGAAATTTGTTTCTTGGTTTTTCTTTTTGGGCTGCCTTGTAGGCCTCTGGTTTTTGCGACTCGAAGTAGTAGGATGACGCGCTAAAATACTAACAGAAGCAGAAGCGAGTAGGCGGCTGCCTTCAACTGCGACAACTCTCTCAAACACTATGCTTTGCTTTGCTTTGCTTGCAGCTCTCTATACAGTTAAGGTATCGTACATATCTAGATAAACGTGCTACCCGGCTTACGGAACTACGGATGCCAGCCAACACTTTGCGGCTTCATAATAATGTCTCACAATATTCATCTCTCTCTTTCTCTTTCTCTCTATTGTGGCTCTTTCTTTGCATTTGCATTTACGTTTTATCTTTTCTTTTTTTTCTTGTTTTTTTTTTATTATTTTTACAATATTTTCAACTTTAGGATCATAGAAGTAACATTAAATAACATTTTTGCGTAATTCTAGTATTTCTAATGTTTTTTGTTGTTGTTTTTGTTGTTTTTGTGGCTGCTGCTGCTGCCGCTGGTGCTGTTTTGCTGCTGCCTATGCCGTTGAGGATGCGGATGTGGCGCCCCCGGGTGCGGCACTTGCTGCATTGCCACCGCCAGCTCCCGCCGCATTGCACTGGATGAGGCCACTGTGCGGCACAGTCGTGGACGCCGGCGCCTGATGATGCCCGTGGCCATGGTGCCCATGGTGATGGTGCTGGTGATGGTGGTGCTGGTGGTGGTGATGGTTCAGATTGTGGTTATTGTTATTATTGTTGCTAAAGTTTAAATGTAGTGCGCCCGCGCCATTGTTCAGGGCCGCTGAGGAGGTGCCGTCCGCTGCTGGTCCCGCCGCAGACGACGACGCCGCCGCCTGGGGAACCGCCGAGGTGCAGTACCGCGTAGTATCACCGAATTCGCCGCTGGTCAGGTCGCCCAGTATGCCACCCAGCAGGCCACTGCTGCCGGCCGGCTTGCAGCCCGCTCCCGCCTCCGGCTGGGTGCAGATGGGCGGCGCCGCAGAGTCCCCGTCGATGAGGGAGGCTGACGCCGACGCCGAGGCTGAGGCGGATGTGGTGTGGCTGTTAGTGTTGCTTTGTGAATTGACGTGCAGCGCCTCCGCGGAAGAGTTGCTGTTGCTGGTGCTGCTGCTATTGTTGTGCTGCTGCTGCTGATGCTGCTGCTGCTGCTGCTGCTCGCAGCCAGAGGCTACGGCAGCGACGACTGGCGGCGAGGACGAGGAGGAGGAGTGCTCGTGCACCGACGAGGACGAATCCTGGCCGCTGTCGTCGGTGAGGCGCAGTGCCACCTCCAGATCGCGCAGCACATCCGTCTCCTTCTCGTCGATCAGATTGAAGCGCCGATGCAGGGCGGTGAGGTGCGCAAAGGTCAGATTTAGATGGGTGTGCAAGCCGAGCAGCGCGATTTCTCGGAAATGCGCCGCATACAGATGCGCTATCACATGGAATTGCAAGCGTAGGATCTTCCGCGCGATCGACTCGAACGAGCCGGGGAACTCGTTCGCGTATTTGGTTGGGAATATCGACTCATCGCTGACCGTCTTCTGCGTGAATGTCATCACGTAGTCGATGTACTGGGGCGCCGCCACGCGCGTCTTCTTGCCCTTCTCGTCGAACCATAAGTACGTTCTGTGGACGGGGGAGTTTAGTTTTAGTTTTAGTTTCATTTAATCGAATCGAATCAAAAGGGTGTGCGCCAAGGCTTACCTGTTGCCAGGTCCAGTCATGTCTGCGCAGCCGGATTGTGTACAAAATTCACTAATAGTTCCGTATACCAGATTTACATGCTCGAAGAGAGCCAGAGCTGCAAGTGGGAGAGATGGAACAAAATAGGGAGAGAGAGAGAGAGAGAGATGCATTAGATATTATCAATTTCGGAAACAGGGAAAAAGGGATATGGGATGGGATCCTATCCTGTCATCAGAGAACGAACTACTAAATAAATATTTAATTCAACTAATTCTTTACCCTGCTTAGATAAGTCTAGAGTTGCCTCAACGAACTACAATGATCGTTAAAAATATGTTTGAAACACTGCAAATAATATCACTCATCATTAATGATAGATAATCTAAGCAGTTCTTAGTTCAAATTTGGTTCAGTCTTTATGGGGTGGTGACATCGAAGGGAGACCGTCAGTGAGGTCAATGCCAAATGCAATATTTGCACAACTGGCGGGCAGGCAGGCGGGCAGGCATATTACGTCATTGCAAGTTGTTGCATTATGGAATGGCCAGAGGCAGAGCAAACAAAAATTAGCTGCTGCCAGATAAGCGTTTGTGGCAGGGGGGGCCAGTGAATGGTTCTGTAAGTCTCTCGAATAGTCTCTCCTCCACAAGATGACCCTGTATTCATATTCCCTAGAAGTTTGTCTCTCTGCAGAGTATTCCACGCTTTATTTTGTTTGTTATTTCTGCAGAAATCGTTCCCAGAGAAGCCAAAGAGGGGCATAGTATAAATAAAGGAGCAGTGTGGCATGACTGCAGACTGAAAGAATGAATCGAGAATGAGTGTGGTATGAATGGAGGCAATAGATGGATGAGTGTGCGGGTGCTGCCTTCGGGTGTTTGTGGAAACTACAATTTGCTGACACATTGCCAATTAGCCGCCTCATTTTGCTGGCAACAAAGAAACGTGTAATTTGCATAGCAGCAGCAGCAGCAGGAAAAAAAGAAGATTATTTACAGGATGATGTAACTTCTGAAATATCGATTCTCGTTCAATGGCAAAGAGGCAAGCAAATAACCTCCTCCGCCAGAAAGCACAGCGGGTGGCAGCGGGCGAGTTAATTAATATGTGACTCACAGTAGGGGGATAACAGATTAGATACTTAATTATTCCCATAGAAAGAGAGAGAGGGGCGAACGCAGCTGAGAGTGCACCCAGGGGCTGAGGGAAACCAAAGGCTATTTGTTGTCCAGCGGCTACCCCAGATCTTGCTATCGGCCACTGACTGATTTCAGGTTCAATGCCTTGGTTAATCCACGGCGCATCGATCGATACGAGGGTTCTATCGCTGCACGCTACACTCTACTCTCCCTATCCCACACTCTTTTCTCTCTGGCGACGGCCAAGGTCGGTCCGAAATGCTACCGAATGGCGATTAGGCCCGCTATCAAATGTTTTTCCCAGCAGCTGCGGCTGTGGCTCTGGCTGTAGCTGTGGCTGGAGCTCTGCCTGCGGCTATGGGACTGTGACTCGTTAAACTCATTTATAAATCACACGATAATGCTGGGCAACAATAGGGGCCTAATAACGCAGCCAAATGCCAAATGCTAGACGTGAATAAATCAAAGCCAATTCGTAAGCAAAAAAAAAAAACAAAAAAGATTGCAAACTTTGCTGCCGTGATTTAAGCTATTTCTAAATACCCTTTTTTGTATTGCAAAAAGAATTTCAAGGAAAATCATTTGGAAATTGAAGAACAACTTTTCTTTAATAAATAAATATATTCGAATATTCGTTTGATCTGCCAGCTTTCAGTATTCAATCCTCATAGTATGTACGAGTATGTATAAAATGGGAGGACTAGTTATCCCATAAAATAAGGCATGATCTGTGTGAAAGATGCTTGGAGGGGGAAGGTGTTCCCTCTGCTAGGGTAAAAATCACTTGCATAAAAACGAAAACTCAGGCCAGAGAACAACACCGAAAGAGCACAGCGCAGTGAATGATGAATAATGAACAACGAATACTGAATGAATACTGAGTGATGAATGAACGGGGCGGGGCGGGGCTGGGCGGCTATGGTCTGTACTTACTGTGTGACGCCAACCATTCATTGTAGTCCAAGCCTGCGGGTAGATCCACCAAGGCTTTGAGATCAGCTTCAGGTAATTTACGTTCTAGGACACTCTCCTCCAAATACAGTTTGGTGTCTGTTGAATTTTGATCGCCATCGCGTTCCTTGCGACGGGCCTTGCTGTAACGACACACAACAGAAGAGATTTAATTAATTAATTTTGGTATAGGAATGCAATGGTAAGGGATATGGTATTATACATGTAATATTATGTATATGCAGAGTATCTGTTGTGTAGACTCTCACCCAGCTACGCAGAGAAAGGTGTCGACAGAGTCCTGCGCATAGCGGTACAGGGTGCCCAGGGTATCACCGATTTTGGCGGGTATTGTCGTCACTTGCCACATAAAACGCGCCGTTTTCAATAGACATTTAATTACATAGGAGGACGGCGGCGACGGTGGTCCTGTCGCTGTTGCTGTTGTGGCTGTTGTTGCAGTGGTTGAACCACTCTTTAGCTTTGACTTTGATTCCGATACGGAATCGAATGTTACTCCCACTATTCGTGTTGTTGGCACCTTTGAGCTTAGAGTTTCTTTCATTTTTTGGTTTGGTTACATTGCTTTGGTCATCATCCTGCGTCCTGCAAGGCACACAGAACACTAAGCAACAGTTCCAGACTCCAACCGAACCGAACCCAACCCAACCGTACCGATCGCGCGCCTAGTTGCCTCAAGTGACTCGATTCAAATGACCAAAGGGCTACTCTTTCGAGAGTTACATGTGATGTGTGTATTTCGATAGCAAGATTCGTGGCTAGATTTCGGGCTACACACTCAAGCAAAGGCATCGGAGAGTGACGAAGTGCGACATTGGACGAAGAAATACTGGAAGGTTTTTGCAAGCGCAAGGTCAGGCGTTCTTAGAGGCGATAAACAAATCTCGAAATTGAAGGAACAGCCGACCTTATAGACTCTTCTCTGGAAAAGTACTAGATGATGCAGATCTGTGTATGGAAATGTGAGTTTTATGCTTAATACTAGAGAATGAACGGCAGTAGGTAGATCGATGATATATGTAACAGTGTGCAAGTTACAAGAGGCACACGAAAACTTTAAGCAGTGTGGCAGCACGCTTTTTGCGCGCACTGGCAGCACTCCCCAAGGGTTGCCACCCTGCATCTAAGGTGAATGTGGGATGCCACTAATGTGTCCCATGCCTGAAGGGTCGGGTACGGCACCGAAAGAACCTTGAACTTGAGCGCACGCACGCGCCCCACTCAGAGCCCCCAAACTGCAGTGCAGTGCACACAAAACGTTGGCACGTTTCGCTATTATTAGCCGTGGGCCGGAGTACGAGTTTATTTGCTCTAGAGACAAATGGTTTTTGATCCATTTTTAAAAAGTTGCTGTGTAAACGGTGGCGAGGCGCCTATAAAAGCGCAAGGCTGCCCCAAGAAAGGCATCAGTTTGTGGCTTAGCCACTTGAGCAGAACTTAATCCCAATTGCGAGCAAAATAACCAAGATGAAGGCAACCATTGCATGCGCCATTGGTGGGTAGTGTAGGGTCGATGCCCGTCCTGGGCATCGGTTCGCCATTTTGACTTTGAATTAATTTTCCGTTTATTTTACAGCGAGCATCCTGCTCATTAGCTTGACCGATCTGGCCACTGGATCGGCGTGTGGATGCACCGAGCCAACAACAACCACGACAAAAGAGAGTGGGTGTGGATGCCCCGAGCCAAAAACAACAACCACATGCCAGCCACCAAAACCGCCGAGCACGACCACCACGACAAGAGCATCGACAACAAGCACGACAAGAGCACCGCCATGCACGAGCACCACGACAATAGCAACGACAAAAGCAACGACAAAACGCCCGACAAAGGCCACCACCACTAAGAAGCCCTGTGAGCCACCAACCAAAAAGACAACCACGACAACCACTAAGAAGCCCTGTGAACCACCAACCAAAAAGCCAACCACGACAACCACTAAGAAGCCCTGTGAGCCACCAACCAAAAAGACAACCACGACAACCACTAAGAAGCCCTGTGAACCACCAACCAAAAAGCCAACCACGACAACCACTAAGAAGCCCTGTGAACCACCAACCAAAAAGCCAACCAAGACAACCACTAAGAAGCCCTGTGAACCACCAACCAAAAAGCCAACCAAAAAGCCAACCAAAAAGCCAACCAAAAAGCCAACCAAAAAGCCAACCAAAAAACCAACCAAAAAGCCAACCAGCAAGCCAACCAGCAAGCCAACCAGCAAGCCAACCACCAAGCCCCCAACCAATCCTTGCGGCTTGTGCGGTCCCGGTGGTTCTGCCTGCCAGGGATGCAAAGAGAGGGACGGTCTCTGCCAGGAGCTGCTTAACACCGTGCGCAATCTCGAGAAAATGATCCGCCAGTGCGTGTGCGGACAGCCTACATGGCAACTGTAAGAGCCAGCCACTATACTGATCCTGATCCCGCTCCCGCTCCGAACTGCCCCCATCTGCCAACCCTTATCTGTTGATCTAACCCAGACTGAGCATGGACTATGATTTCGCATTTGTTTAGTTAAGTTAAGTTAAGTTCGGTTTTGTTTTGTTAGCCACAATTTGGTGTCTGTTGAATTTGTTACCATTGTTAAATTACTTAATATATATTCTGTAAATAAAGCGGGGCGAAAGAAAGCCGGACCATCCGTCGCTTTCGTCTCCGTTAATTGTTTCTGCAAATATTTGCTTGACTTATTATTTACGGGAGATAAAATAGAAATCTAGAAACAGGACTGCAACAGATCCTGGAACTTCTGCAATTAAAAATACAAAATTAAATAAAATTATTCGGAATACCAACTGGATTTGATCGCTCTGAAATGACCTGAATTTCAAGTTCCAGAAAAGTTCCAACAGTCGCAGCAAAAAGTACTCCAAAAAGTATCCCCGGACGCAACTAACAAAATAAATTTACATACGCACTCGTAAATCTTATCAAAAAGAAGAATCAACAATTTGTTGTACATTTGTTGTACGTTTTTATTTGTTTATACGAAATGCCACCCCACCCCCTCCAAAGGAACCAAGAAAAAAGTGCGTGGCGTGGATCGCGTGGCGGCTGCAGAAAGAGAACCAAACTTATTTATCAGTCGAGTGGCGGGGGGTGGGGGTCGCACAAGCAAAGCGACTCTTTGGGCACTTAAAAAAATAAACCCACTTGTGATTATAATTATGCCCCTGACACCACCACGCCCCTCCTCCCTCCCTCCCTGTCGAAGGCCCGCAACCAAAAGCGCGAGAGCCACCGAAGCGTGCTGATAAAGCTCCAAAATGCTTAAGCACATATGCATATGTACATACATACATATATCCACATACAGCAGAGCTCAAAATAGTAGCACATAATAATTACAAATATTCATGATATTTTAGGGTCCCGAAATCTGATTTACTTCTTCCTTTCGCGTGGATATCGAGCAGGTTCGATCCTCTGATCTTCGACTTTACTTTCACGGCCTTTTTTAGCCTTTCAGTAACTATTTCGTTGGCCCCAGCTGTGCATATGTTATGGGTATAGTCATATGACATTTGTGCGCATTTGTTTTTCCCATTTTCCAGCTGTGAAGCAGCCAGGCATGGCCAGCCCCCAGCCCCCGCCTCCAATGGGCAGGTAACTTCCCAGTTCCGTCCCAACTTACCCACCCCCGCCCAGCACAGTGTCTCCCCTATCTGTGTGTAGATAATGAAAATTGGAGGGCCCCGCATGCAGCAGTGCCACATTGTCATTGAGGTTGAATTTGAATATTCCACGGACACCTGCCGGTTGCTGGGCTGGGACGCATATGGTGGCGCCACTTGGGGGCCACAGTTTACCCAATAAGTGCCAAATACAGCCCCACAAACACACACACACAGAACGTACTTTGCGTGACAGGTCAGGCTAGAGGCGTTCAAAGGTCATAGTTTCCATGCAAATGCATTGCCGGATGCAGTCCTTGATGCCCCACAAAGATAGGAAAGGCCTTAGGCCTTAGGTGGAAGGTGCAAAGGGGCAGCCTCACATCAGGGCAAACTGTACCCTTTGTCTTTAGCTTAAAGGCATAGCTTTCGAGACGTCTTTAAGCAGCGATGGATAGCCTTGCCTCTCATCTGTAATCTCTTCAAGGAGTGCTCACAAAAATCGACCATAAGAATGAGAGACAGGTAAAAGCTGCTTTAACCCCCCCTAGCCGATGGTTTAGTCAACGAACCAGCCGATCACTTCATACCCTGTACATCAAACGTACATCGAAAATGTAAGACGCCTTCCGTATCAATTATAGAGTTGTTTTGTTGTTGCTGTCACTGTGCTGTATCGATTTGATAAGGAAATTAGCAGTAGAACATAGTAGGTATATTTGTGACTCTCAATTTCCCAGTGCCTCGTGACGCTGAAGGAAAACCCAGCAAACACGTGCCATTAGTGAAAGCAGAAGGCAGGCTCTGGCTCTGGCTCTGGCTCTGGCTCTGGCTCTTGCTCTGGCTTTTAGTCGATTAACAAAGTCATCGAGTGACATTTTTATGACGACTCCTCCGCCTTGGATCGTGGCTTCCATTTACCATTTACCATTTAGCATTACCCACATTCACAATATGTACACTGACACACTGACACATTCTCTGGGCCGCCCCCAATCGATGGGAGGGGGAGAGCACGATAAGAGACGGGGCTCTGCCTTCAGTTTTGGGGGCTCTTGGAATTTCACAATAACTGCCACGGAACCAAACACACACACACACACACACACACACACACACACACACACACACACACACACACACACACACACACAGGCAAACAAATGCCAGCCACATAAAGTAATTTGATTATCGTCCGTTTTCCGTTTTTTTTTTATATCTTTTAAAGCACCTCACGCCTTACGCCACCCACCCCCCAACCCACCTGGATTTGTGGTCGCAGAGCAGTCCGCAGATATATTTGCACGTCAGGTTCTTGTTTCGCATTTCAGGTCGCAACGCAGGCAACGACGTCGCGACGCGTCAAGCGAAGGCCTAAAACTAAAACTAAAACTAAATTCCGCTAAAAGCGAAACCAAATCGAAAGCACAAATCGAACGCAGAAAATGGGTGCATAAAAATGTGATAAATAAATTGAAATTTGAACACATCAATTCCGTATTTGCTACCACCCCACCACAACGACCCATTCGATGGCTGGACAGGAGCGTGCCATGAAGGGGGGCACACGGCAGTGACCCTGACCCTTCTGAATGATACCAGAGAGAGAATCGTCTGGGCCCAAGAATCAATTAGCCTCATGGACACAAGTATAAGGAAAATTCCAATAGCCAATATCCAATATCCAATAAATGGTCAGCAGGGAACCTGTCTCAATGATATATTTATTATGGCAGCAGCGACCAAGTAAATGAAATGAAACGGAACGGAACATATGGCACCCACCAACCGCTAAACCACCACACACCACACACAGGGGGCAGATTGGCTGAAATTGGGGCATATGCAACGACTCGAGACAGCTCCGGGCGGGAGGGAGGTAGGAAGGTAGAGGCATGGCCATGAGCACACATGTCGCTTCCCCATGTCCATGGATGGCTCCCTGTGCCTCGCCTCGCCACTCCACCCTTTATCACTTCAGATAAGTGCAACCAGCAGACAGGCTTTCCCCATTTCCAAAAGTATTGCGATAGGCTCTGCCTGTTGTTGTGCTGCCATATGCTATACGCACAAAAACCAATCACCGCGATATTGATCTATCAATTAAAAGGCTTTGCCTGTTGCCACATACCCACCCACCCCACATACATAGATATATACAGTAATATATATATATTAGTATCTATATGCAGAGGAGGGGGGTGTGTTGAAGTAGTAGTGTAGTAGAAGAAGCTGTACTCCAAATTATTATGTTTCCTGATCTCAGACAATATTTGCAACACTTTTCATGTGTTTCTTCCCTGTTAAAAAGTGACGAAAAATCTTCTTAAATTTCTTAGAACTAGTCAATAATTATTATAGCCACTATTAAAGTTGTATTTATGGATCATACAAATGTTGCTTCAAAGATTTCCTCACCCCCGGAGAAGCATAATGATATCTGGCATACATAAATGCTGCTGTTTATGCTGATATTTTTCTTTAGTACGAGACACAGCAGAGATTTGGTGTTTATTAGTGCTACTGGAGTTGGGGGGCCGGGGCCGGGGCCCTGTTTAGCTAGCAAAAACTGAACGCTATGGAGTCGAATGGAAATGTATTGCCCAATATCCCAGACCAGACAATGACTAAACTACGCCCAGCAGAAGAAACAAAGGGCACACAGAGCTTCGCACCGACAATAGACAATGGAAAATGCTACTCTACCCCTTGTTTTCCATAACCGCTATTATCTATACATACATATATACACGTACATATGTACAGTCTCTGCAGTCTCTCTCGCTCCCTCTCTCTGTGTGGGGGTGTTATTGTTGTTAAAAGTAAGTGCGACGCACAGTGTAAGTGTCCAAAGGTGTGGAAATTACTATAGAAACAACAACTCCTTAGAGAAAGAGAGGTAGAGAGGGAGAGAGAGTGCGAGTGGTACAATGATAAGTTAATAGCCATAAAAGCTGACAAAATGCAGTCAACAACAATTACAACAGCAAATGCCCGATAAGATATAAGGGACTGATCAGGCCACACAAAAGCTACAGAAATAACAAAAACACCCGCAGAATATTGGCCACAATTTGTTGAGCTGATGCTGCTGCTGCTGCTGCTGCTGCTGCTGGGTTCTGCTGCTTCTGAATGATGATGATGATGATGATGGGACGATGATGTAATGGACTCTATAGGCCATAAATATGGGGCTGTCTAACTGGCTAGAAATGTATTCCCGCTGCCTGCCCCTGCCTGGCCTGTTCTTTGTGTTTCCCACTGGAGGCTGAAGATGGGCCCAAGCCAAGCCAACAACCATTGACTCATTGAGTTGGCCCTGCCAAAATGAGCATGAAAACGTGACAGCATAATGGCATCCATATAAAAGTGCCATTGATACACCATAAAGCCCCACACAGCACAGCAGAGTGTGATGGAAGTAAATGGACAAACATAAAAGCCTACCAAAAAGCAGGCCAACAGATTGGACTCTTTAATCCGAAAGTGTGCCAGCCAAAAGACGCTGTTTTGTGGCGTAGGATTACACCTCGCTGGAAGGAAGAGCCGCAACAGCAAAGCTGAAGATGGGTTTAAGTCTGTGTGCCAATGCTAGAACTGGAATAGGCAATATCCCAATGAAGAATACTTGCTTCACCCGAAATCGCGGAACTAGTTTATTGTGTGTGTTCTTTTTTTTTCTTATAAGATTTATCTTTCTGCTGCCACAACTATCCTCCGATGGCTGAAATTTCATTATTTCCGGATGGGATACACTTTTGTGTGGGAGGAAATATCTGTAGCCATTTGACATTCGGCCCTCCTCCCCCTGATGATGGTAGGGATTGAAATATAACCCAGTGTGAACCGGTTACGATCCGTTCACTCGTCAGATTCATAAATAAAAGCGCGGAGGCCACACAACTGAGCGGGGGAGGGGAAAATTACGTCATATCGCTCGAACCGATGCATTTATCCAGTTGGATTGACATTATACCGCACTGCGCACCGCACCGCACCGCACCGCACCATTGGATCATTGCGATCGTTTATTGACACGGGACAATTAAATGGGGGGTGGGGT